CATGGATGTTGTTGCTTGCTTACAAATCCATAGGATTTATAATAAGTTTGTGAAGCTACCTGGGGATAGAGGCAGCTTGAGACATCAGGCCACCATCTCTAGATCTCCTTTTTAATCTGACCCAGATGGTGCCAGTGTCCTGGTTTTCTCAGTGCCTGATCAACGAAAGGACTTGGGCGAGAGCTTGATGACTAGCTGAGATTTAATTTAAGTAGGGCTGAGGTGATACTTACTGCTGGGGAAAGCAGCCTAAGACCATGGTAGAGATTATGTCTTTTCCCATTAATGAGAGAGGGTATCCTCACCTGAGTAATTTCATAATTCAGAGATCAGCATTGGTCTCCTTTGTTTCCAGTTTTAATTTATCATTGGAGTTGTGACAGTTTTATCCTGCAGTGAACTTCAAAACCTTACCGTAGCCTTTGAGGGCCCAGACAGCATCCCTGGCGTGTGGTTTGTGAGTTGACTTGCACATGAAATAATTTTAAAATATGCAAAGACCTAATTGCTTTTCCCAGTAAGCTGGTTTTTGTGCTCATAGTTGGCACTTTTAGGATCTTAGAGATTTGTGTAGAGAAAACATATTTTTCTTCAGTGAAATTGCTAAAAGTTTTGGGTTTTATTAGAATAAAAAGGTAATGATTGTTTTTCTTTATGCAGATTTTTGGCGATGTTATTGGAAATTGTTGGATCGGTAGACTTGATCTATGAACACTTAATGGTACAAGGAGTACACAACCAGTAACAAACCTCTGATGCAAGTTTCTCTTCTAGTGGCAAGGGTGGAGGGAACTGTCTTCTGGCCCCTCAGCAGTGCACCCACAGCTTGCATAATTTAAGCACAGGACTTGAGTCTAAGCTTCAGGTACTTGACAAAGCCATGCTCCAAAATCAAGTGCCCCACTTCTGCATTATATTCAATGGGCAGAGGCCAGTGCCTCTGACTTCAAGAAAACCCCTTTGCCTACCTCAGCAGTCTAAATTAAGTCTATTCAACTGCCTTTCTGTGAGGCCTTCAAAGGCACCTAACTCTTCTTTGACACAAACTTTTTGAGACATCTCAGTAGAATCAGGGCAGCTGGGAAGAGCTGGGGTTTTTTTAGACCTTGTCCTTCAGGGATAGTAGGGGATATCTGACCTTATGCTAGTGGAACATCGTAGAGTTGTCCTGGAGCTGCTCCTCCAAGTACTTTAGGGATTGGTTGACCTCAAAGCTCATGGAGCTAAAATTGGCTCCCAGATACTTCATGCCCATGGTGCAGTGCATGGAGGTCTGGTTCAAAAGAGGAATCTGCCCTTGGAGCTTTAAAACCAGCCCTTTTGTCATGACTCCATTCTATAACGTTTATCTTCTTGTGTTGAGGATGTACAAATCAACTGTATTCAAGGGACAGCTAAACTAGGTCAGGAGATGAAGGTGAGGAGATAAAGAATTGCAGCCCGGGTACTCCCCTCAGCTGGGGTGTAATGTTTATCGTGCAGCCATCACGTGAGACATTTGCATTTGGAGATACACCCTTTCTTTTGAATAAAACACTTTTCTTTTGAATGAGACAATTTTCTTTTGAATGTCTAAGAGCACCCACTCCATTCTGGAGCTGTCACAAGAAAAGGTGTATGGCACCTTATAAAACAAACTAAGAAGAGATAAGAACAATGTCAATAACTGGGGGGGTTGAGTGTTTTTTGGGTTTGTTGGGGTTTTTTTTTGTTTATCTCTATTATAGAGCTTGTTATTTTGTGATTTCTCTCTACTCCAGAGACCAAAGGGGTTCAGATGCTGTAGGAATATGGAGGAATAAGACAACTGTTATGCATGTCTCTAATTAGGAATTAATCCTGAATTGTACTCACTGGAGGGATCAGCTGTGTTTACATAAGAAATCACTGTGCAGGATGCTCTAAATATAGGCAACCCTTGCCTTAAAGGGCTTACTGTCCATAAAAGACAGAGAGAATAAGGGCCAGAGAGAAGCTTTGGAAATGAGACATTTTTGAAATGTTGAGTCACCATAAATTTATTCAGTACTGAAGATGATTTCTGCTCTCCCATTTGCCTGTTTTCCTTCAGCAGGGATGTGCAAGCTACCTCAGGCAGGTCTCAACTTCCATTTTGCTCCTTCATGGGAGAAGCTGTGATAAGAATCAAGCAAGTAGACTACAAAAAAATACAGAGCCCCTATTATGGAGAGGTGTTTTATACAGTGTAAAACCAGCCTGGCTGACAGTCCAGAGCCAGGGGAGAAATCTGCAGTGAAGCAGCTGGTAGTGCAGATCAGTTGTGATGTCCCCTGGGTTCCTGACAAACGCAGAATGTGGAGCTACAAGCCGCTGCCAGCCATGCCCAGCTGTGGTCTGGGAGGCATAAATCAGCAGCCTCCAGCTACAGAACCAAGGTCTAAAGGGACTAATCTGAGGACTAACACAACTCGGCGATTGTCTGCAGCAAAATTAGCTTCAGGAAGGACAGGGCAGTGAGCTGAATGGGAGCTGGCTCAACACAACTCCTACAAGGATATGAAAGTGGCAAAACCAAGTTCGCTTCATTCATGTAAGTGAGATCTGCTAAAATTCTCTGTGTTTATTCATTTGCTTGTGGCAGGCCAAAACAGCCTGCAAGGAGAAGGGAGGAGCATTTTTTGTTTCATATAGAATCATGGAGTCACAGAATGGTTTGGGCTGGAAGGGGCCTTAAAGACCATCTTGTTCCAACCCATGGCAGGGACACCTCCCACAAGACCAGGTTGCTCAAAGCCTCATTCAGTCTTATTTTTAAAGTTTTCTATTCAATTAATAGTTTTCTGTTGGTTTTCTATTTGTTTCTAATAGTTTTCTATTAGTTTCCTTAGTTTTCTTTTTAATTAATCCTTTTTGCTGCTTCTGACTGCTGAAGACAGTTATCTGTATGCCCTCAAGCACAATGGGGATTTAAACATCAAAACGCTGATTTGCATTCTGGAGGAAAATTAGTATGGAATCATCAAACCTTCCAGCAATTGTGCTGGTTTCTCTTTTGCTCTGAGCCTGATCCTGCACTCTCGGACACCTGCAGCAACTGCCATAAGCCAGCTGGAGCTTTGACCAGGGTGAAGCTCTCTGTAGCACAATCAGTTCTTTGCACAAAGGCAAAAACTTGAACTGCTGTTCAGCCTTTTGACCAGACCCATCACTTGGTGTTTTGCTCAAACTAATTCAAAACTTGAAATCTTTGGAATCCTGTTTAGCTTCTGCAAAATTTCTTCACTGGCTGACAGAACAGTTGGTCCTTCTTTTTCTCATGGAAACTGCTGTTGTGGCTGAGGTCCCAGGGAGACAGAAATGCTGTGAGGCTGTGCAGGCAAGGCAGCAATGTCAGCTCGTACCTCCGCAGGTCACACCATGAAATCAAGCGCATCCTTCAGCAGGGCTTCTCATGCCTGGGGTCACTTTTTAAGCCAAGTCAGAAAATGTTTTGTGGCTTTTTTCTTTTAGTGTTTGTTTTTTTAGGGCTGCAAGTAATAGATGTTAATGCTTTAGTATTAAAAGTACCTTAATTATCACAAGGCTGAGAATGGGGAGCTCCCAAATTGTCAAAATAGTGACTCACGGCTTCTGCTCCCCACTGGTGAGGTGAAAACACGTGTGTCTTTGAGGAGTGTGGTTTGAGTCCCTTGCTGTTGTGAAATACCAGATGCATTCAAACCTCTCTTCTGGCTATGAATGGATCCTGATTTCTTTGAGCGTGTTCCTTCCTGATAAGTACTCAGGAAATAATCTGTGCGATCATATTCAGCATCAAGGTCCCCAAAGCACTTGCTTTTGGCTGAAATGGCAGGTTTTTATTGTCTGTCTCATATTTCTACTGTCTGACTATCTGATGGAAGCCTTTCAGTTAGAAGAGCAGAAAAATAACATTGAACTGCCAATACTGTAAATAAATCAGTGCTTCTTCTCACCTATGAATCTGTTCACATTTAAGCATGGATATCTGTACATAAGAAAATCGTTCTGTAGACAGTCATATGAATAAAACACAATCTGTGGGCATACTCATGGGTGATGAGGAATGAGGTGTAGACATGTTTGAGCTGAGCGACTGCTGCAGCTCCAAATTCATACCTGTTGATGTTGTCCTGATAGCAACCAGCTGTCCCCAAGGGTGGACTGTAGCTCAGGAAGGACAGTTAAAACATGCCAAGGTCTAAGCTGAGAAGGTACAGTACAACTCACTGTCCAACCGCTAAGGGACTTTTCTTATCTTAAATTTACTTTGCTGTTGATGTTAAAATTCCTAGTGAGGAACTATCATGGGCCAGCAGTGTGCCCAGGTGGCCAAGAAGGCCAACGGCATCCTGGCCTGCATCAGCAATAGTGTGGCCAGCAGGACTGGGGCAGGGATTGTGCCCCTGTACTGGGCACTGGTGAGGCCGCACCTTGAATCCTGGGGTCAGTTTTGGGCCCCTCACCACAAGAAGGACATTGAGGTGCTGGAGCAGGTCCAGAGAAGGGCAATGAAGCTGGTGAAGGGTCTGGAGCACAGGGCTTATGAGGAGCGGCTGAGGGAGCTGGGGGTGTTTAGTCTGGAGAAGAGGAGGCTGAGAGGAGACCTCATCACTCTCTACAACTGCCTGAAAGGAGGGTGCAGTGAGGGGGGTGCTGGGCTCTTCTCTAAAGTAACAAGTGATGGGACAAGAGGAAATGGCCTCCAGTTGTGCCAGGGGAGGTTTAGGCTGGATATTAGAAAAAATTTCTTCACTGCAAGAGTGATCAGGCATTGGAACAGGCTGCCCAGGGAAGTGGTGGAGGCACCAGCCCTGGAGGGGGTTAAAAAGTGTGTAGACGTGGTGCTTAGGGACATGGTTTAGTGGGTTAGGGGGTGTTGGGTTGACGGTTGGACTTGATGATCCTTGAGGTCTTTTCCAACCTTAATTGATTCCATGATTCTATCTGTTAGAAAGATTTCTGGTAAAGACTTTATATTGCTCACCTTTCTCAGCTGCACTGCATGGAAGAACACTTACCTCTATAAGCATGTATAAAGAGAGCAGTGTAATCCCAAGGTTATAAACAATAAGGAGAGCCCTGAGAGAGAAAGGAGGCCTGTCCTTCATGAGTTTGTTGCCCAGCCATATGCAGAGTAGGTATGCTCCAGTGAGGAAAAACGTGGGAAGGTAAGAGTCCAAAAGGAACCATCCTCTGACCCTGGCATCTGAAAAGAAACACATGCAGCAGGAAATTAGGAAGGCTATGGTAAAGTATTGCTAAAATAAGGCAGGTCATATAATGAAAAAGTGCTAAAAGCATGAGAAGGAATTGGCCATGCTCTGCTCACATTAAGATTTCCATCCCTTGCTTTTACCACCCTACAACTGCACACTAACTCAGAGAATGCATGGTGAAAACTGTATGGAATCCCTTAGTAATTTAAAGTCACTTAAGTCTCTACATTTTAACAGGAAAGAGAAAATGAAAGGAAGAAAACATTCCTATATGCTTATTTAACATAATGTTTTATCTTAATATTTAAATCATATTTTAATCTTCTTAATGGACAGTTTACAGATACAAAGTATGCATGTAAAGTTGCCAGTTCACATGTTATTTTAATTCTGCGTTTGCTGTATATGTATAAAGGTATATGACATTTGTTACAAAACACTTAAACAAGGGGAGGATTTTTCAAAAACATTAAATATGAACAACAAACAGCAAATGTTTACTTTGATGGTTATCAAAGATATTTGGTAAAGCAAGGGCTTGCTTTTTCTCATAGTTTCTGTCCCATTTACTTGGTCCTAAAATGAAATATTAAGGTCAAATCCTACTTGCCTTATTCACACGAGTAATCCCATTGTCAGTAATCAGATAGTTCAGTGTATATGAGCAAAGCCTAATCCTATATGCCAATCTGGAGGCATCACTTCGCTGTCCTATGGGCAACTAGATGTCATGAGCAAAAGGAGTGTGGTTTTTTGTTCCTGTAGTTTGTTTTTTCCCAAGATGGAGCAAAATCTAGAGTTAATTTTCCACAGCAACAATCTTCAGACATTTATCTATGAAGAGAATATCATGTCTATTTTTTTTTTTCAAAAAGGTTACTCTAAATCTGTCACAAGTTATAGAAGAAGCAAGTCAGTGGGAAGCTATTGTGCAGGTCACAGTAGTTCTTTCTGCTCTTAGAAACTGGGAAGAAGAAAGTTTAAATTCAGAAAGTTTAAAATTACTTAGTTTATTTTTTACAAAGACCAAGATTATGTTAAAAATGTTAATGAAAGAAATGGTATTCACAGTGCAAGAAAAAAATACTATTTTTTGGCCTGTGTTGAGTTTGGGAAGGACTGGGCAATAGATGATGCCCAAACCAAATGTGGCCGAGCATGTAACCAACTGTTCCTGATGGCAATTTTGGTTTATTCTTTCCGACTAATTTTTTCCTCAAAAAAATATATGTATAGGTATACATAAAATGAGATTTTAAGTGAGTTAGAGTAATCTGCTTATGAACAGGTCTATGGACATGAGCTTTCTTTTTCACTCTAGTCTCCCTCCACTTCCCACCTTGCTTCCATCGCAGTGGCTGTAACACTCATCTGTTGGATGTGAGCTCCACATGGGATGTAAGCTCTTCTGCAGACAAGATTTTCAACCAGACCAAAGTTACTGTGGAAATCCAGTGCTCTCCTGGCTTTTACTCTCTGGAATGGATGTTTTTGAGGGTATCCTGTTCCCATGTGGGCTCCAAACAGGTTCTCCTCCCATATGGGCTCTAAACAGGACACAGGAGTCATAAGACAGGTAAAAGTCGTGTGTGTAAGTGTTGATCTAATCTATGTTTTAGTAGCATAAGGATTTAATTTATTTAATTGGTATCCTAAATGAAGGCGTAGAAAGCAGTCATGTCAGCAAGGCTCCTATCTTGAAGAAGGGTCTGAGGATTGCAACACTTGGTGCATAAAGGTTACTTGCACAAGGGTCAACTGGTATTAGCAGATAACAAAACAAAATATTTGCTCAAAGCAGAAAAGTAATAGTAATACAAATTAAACTAAACAGCATTAAGTGCTGCCCCAGTACGCCCTCTGAAAGTTTTGACTGCTGTGAATGGCCACAAGCATGTGGGCCGATCCATACAAGAACAGAACTCGTGTGCTTGTTCAGGTCATCATGTCCAGTATTTTTGAGATCTGTATTCCTTCAATTTTAAGAGAAATTATTAAAATGTGTACCCCTACTGATTATTTTCCACCCTGACCTTGGTACCTTAAAGGGTAAGACAGTTATTGGCAGAAAGTTGTTTATAAATGGCAGCCAAGGAACGTGACTGTTTTGTTTCCACTTAGGTTTATCCCTGAATGACAAGAAGAATTAGGTTTTTATGTGGCAGGAAGGGAGAGGAAAGGGAGTGTATTTAAAAAAAAAAAAGTTATCGGAAGAAGAGATCAAAAGTATTTCTGTTGACTGACAGTTCGATCTCTGTGTTCATGTACTAGAAAGGCATGCTACCAATAGAAGAAAAGATTATTTTTAAAACGGTGAACCCGCACAGCATCTGAATTTGAGACCAAGGCAGTGAATAAATCCAGTGTGAAAGTGCTGGACTAGAGCAGGGGAAGGAGCAGGCACCCACAAGCTCTGATTGCTCTGTGAATAAGCTCATTCACGGCCACTGGCCATGATGTGCCAGACCCTTGAGGTGACATCTTGGCTCCTTTGAAATGAGTGGCAGGCTTCCCAGGCTCTCTAAAGGTACTAGGCTTTTATCAGTGATGTTTAGAAATATTTTGATTCAGGTTTCTGTATAGCTTTGTCCCGTTGGCGTCTGAGTAGATTCAGACCTTTTTAGGTGCAGAGGGGAGGTGGTTTTGCACCAGTGCCTTGCTACTCCTCATACTCAATTGAGGAGAGGAGGAGTGCTTATTACTTTATCATAACTTTATCAAAATATTTCTATTCTTCACCACCTCTGTTTCTCTCACAGAGAAAACAAGCAACGAATTAAGTAGATTTCGCTCCTGCGATTCAATATTCCTTAATTTTGCATAACACTGAATTATACTCTGCAGATGAAGGCGACCCAGGAGAAATGCTCTCTTACAGAATGATATAGCTATTTCACTCTTTCTCATTTTGCCTTGAGCAAAATCTCCTATCCAGAATAATATGGACCAACATCAAATTGTCAGACCACTTCTTATTAAGAGATGCAACAGATGGGCATGTGTATGGCTTCTATTCCCTGATCCAAAGGACTTGGTCTGCTAGTTCAAAAGCAAGCATTGAGGTAAATTTGTGTACAAAGTCCAGCTGACACCAGTGAACAAAGGCACAAAATATGCCTGTATATAAATAAAATTCAGATCTTTGCCAGCACACCCCTTATTCTAGTAGTGCAGTACTGCAGCTTGTGTTAAGCTGGTACTACCAATGTGAGCAGAGATTGCCTCTAGGAACTGGTGCCTGGCTTTCTGTTTCTTCTTGTGGCCTCAGCCCATCTGGTAACAATGACTAAAACCAGTATAGTGATACCAGTATTTCAACAGTTAGTACTTAAGATATAATCCATGAATATGGGATTGATTTTAAAAGAATAGAGCACTGGTGTCTATCCTTTTAAGCCATGATTTGGTTGAATGAAGTATGTCTTGTGGATAAGAATTGGTGGAGAGAAAGAAGGGGAATGGTTTGTTGGTTTTAGATGTGTGGGGAAGCTCTCAAGAATTCATTAGAATTTGATTTGTGGGGTAATTCTATCCAATTTAAAACTGTTTGCAGTTTATTGTGAATTATTTATGTGTATAAACACGTTGGAGGGAGCTATATTATTCACAAGATGTAGGATACTGTGTCATTATACCACCAGTTCAAATAAAAGATCATAGTGAAGAGGCACAAACAAATGCTATCTTCAGTATTGATGTCTGGAGAGAGATGATGATGCACCTGGCAAGTGATACAAATAATACTTGTTTAGATGAAGTGCTTTCTAAAAGTCCAAAGGTATCTGTGTGATATTCTGTGTTGGATTAACTACAGTTTGTTCCTTCGAACAATTTGCTCTGGACCAGCAAGGAAAGTGGAATGAAAGAGAACATTATATCTGTTTGGGAAAAAAAAGGTAGTAGTACTTTTATGCTTGTGATCACATTTCTTTGTTAATATTAAATTGCACTATTGTAGAAGCCATTAATTAAACATTCTATTTTAAACCCTTCTGCTGCAGTTCCCAAAGTGTTCAGTGTTTCTTCACCAGAAATCTTTCTTTCAAGCTTCACCACTACTGCCGAAATGATGGAAAAAAATTTGTACTTGTCCAAGTTCCTGTCTTGCCCCTTTCCTCTAGCTGCTTGTCTCTCTTATCCCTGACTTTAATGTTCCATCTTCACCTTTCTGTGCCTTTTCTCTTTTTGTTTAACTCTGCTTCAGGGTTGTGTTGTTTGTTTGTTTTTCTTTTTTTTTTTTTTTTACTATTACTTTTTCAGTCTTTACAAAGCAGAAGGCACCTCCAAGCTACAGTTATTCAAGTTATTCTTGTCCAAACTGTTTTAGAAAGCAAGAATAGGAAATAGAAAGATGCACCTGTTCTCCCACCCCATCTATTTGTTTACTGAATTTTTGATGTGATCCTGTGGGGTGCTAAAAGCCCTTTCTTGCTTTTGCACTGAGCATCCTTCTGAATTAGGCTATTAGGTAGCTGGACCAAACAATAGTGGGATTATGAATTGGAATCAGTCTCAAAACAGATCTTCCACTTACCAGAAAAATCCAGGTTTTCAATTTTTTTTATCTACACTAGGATGTAACACTGAAATACCAGAATATTCTCAGAAACAAAGGACTCTGAAATCTAGTGGGTTTTTTTAAAGTTTAAAAAAAAAATCAGTTTCATTTCTTCTTTCACCTTCCGTATAATCTGTGATTGGTTTTAATTTGTATTGTAAAATTTTGACTGCTTCTATTTATTATAATATTTTTGAATGGTAATCTGGACTGGTATTATTTCCTAAAAGGGCTATAGGTGCAGCAACTTACCTCGAGGTCCAAACATATAGTCCACAAATTCATTTACTTCCCGGTCAAAAGCTTTCAGGTGCTCCTAAAAAAATATAAAAAGGACATATGACAAAGCCATCCCTCAGGGCTCACAGAGAATGCAATTAAAAAAAAAAAAAACAAAAAAAAAAAACAACAAACTGGCAAAGAGTGTCATGCTCAAGTATTTCCAGAGTATGTAACATCACATCTACTGAAAAAAAAAAAGTTCTCTTTAAAAATTAATTTAGGGCAGATTGTGGTTTAGATAACAACAGAGGCCTCGTTACTGGAAGCTGTGCCAAAACCAGAACCCTTTAGGAAGGGAAATTAAGGTTTTACAAATGACAACCCACAGCAAACCCATCTGTGACGGGTGTTATTTTTACTTTAGTAAGGATACTTTTTGTTGGGTTGATTTTTGTCTGGCTTCCTCAACTGAAATCCCTGTGTGTAGAGAGGAGCTGGTGCTTCTTTTGGTAAGCTTCACAAAACTTTCTGGTTGCGGCCAGCCTAGTGACAGGGCCTCAGCTGAATATAGCGACTTTTCTTTTGAAGAAGGAAACCTCTGGGGTGGCCCAACTGAGATTTCTCTAGATCAGGTGCTGGGTTTCTAAAAAAAAAAAAAAAAAGTCTGCAGGAGAACCCAGACCTCCACTAATGAAGTTGAGGCCTTGTAGAGAGGCAGGAAGAGGAAGGCTGTGTTACAGAGATGTGTTCTGAGGTTGAAGTTAATGAAGCTGGCAGGCTTAGCAAGTTTGTGTCTGATGGTGCCTGAGTTGAGAGCTAAGGATGTTCAGGATGTTCAAAGTGGCCAGATTTTGTGTGAATATGTGGCCGCAAGAGTTTTTGCAGCATCCCAGGCAGTAAAGGTCTGCCTCTGCACAATGCTGCTGAGTTCATCGTATCTTAAAAAAAAAACAACCAACCACCCCACAAAAAACCAAAACACAACAAAAATGCCAAAACTAAAAGTATGCATTTTTTTAAAAAACCAAACAAACAAAAAATGACTTGCTCTGAAAAAGGAGAGAATGAAACCAATGATTTGTGATACAAAAAAATTTCTCATACTTTGCAACACTGAGGAAACTAAATAGTTTTTAGGGAAGGGTCCTGCCTACTGCCCCTGGAGAAAGGCATTTTCTCAATTGCAAACAATTTCCTCAGAAGCCTAAGGATGACTGCTGTCACAGGACATGGCTCCATTTCCAGGTGTGGGACCTGTGCAAAAGATCAGATTCCATTTTTATGTCCTTGAGCTATGCAGTTTTTCTGCTATTATTTCACGAGGAAGGTACTGCCCTTTGGGGAACGCCACATTGCTGTTTGTCTGGGATGTGCCCACCTGCTGCATTCATTTGAAACAGAGCTACTCCTGTGCTTGATGGGTTTGTGGTTTGAATGAACAGACTGCTTTGGAAAAAATACTTCAATGTATTCAGGTGACTTGTAGGAATGAGTATGCAAAGCTACTTGTTTTCATGCTTACGTTATATAAACAAATCTTACCTGTCAAGAACAAAATAATAAACCATGTATATTCCTTTTATATTAGAATACTGTAAACAAATCTACTCTCAGCTGCATTCAAATGGAAATTAGGGACTGAATTCTTCTAACAGTTGGAGGAACTAGAATTGTAGAATAATAATAATTAAGGAGAAAGAACAGAATGAAGACTTGAAAAAAATAGAATTATAGAATCATTTAGGTTGGAAAACAACTTTAAGATCATAGAGTCCAACCGTTAACCTAACACTGACAAATTCACCACTAAACCATGTCCCCAAGCACCACGTCTACACACTTTTTAAACCCCTCCAGGGCTGGTGACTCCAACGCTTGACAACCCTTTCACTGAAGAAATTTTTCCTAATATCCAGCCTAAACCTCCCCTGGTGCAACTTGAGGCCATTTCCTCTTGTCCCATCACTTGTTA